TAACCATGTATTGAATTCGATAGTACTATACTTTGACGACAAAGCTAGAATACGGCTTTAACCTCTCCGCCGCGGCCGTATATAAACGTCACGCTCAGCCAGTGCATAAGTTGTTCTGGACGTATATATACGTCTTTCCGAAATACGATTTTTTTCTGTTCACTGCTATCCATAACATTATTCCGAAGGCTTTGGAATGCAAAAAAATGACCTTAACAGTGTTTGTGAAAGATTTACTTATTCCAGACGATTTCTTATTTATTCCATTTCTCCTCCCCCAATACACCGCATACGCATGCATACGTGCATAACGGTGGCATTGTGGAGTTAATTGCGTAACTTTTAATCCACAGTTAAGGGATTAATTATAAACTTTACAAATTATTAAGATAAGTGTTAATTTTTGCATATAATTTTATATATGACAAGCCTGTGCGATCACTGATGATTATTAAACTTGTTCTTAATTTAGTATTGTTAAATTAATTATAAAAAGTACATTTTTTTTGTATAGTACTGATACATTTATAAGTGTATTATATCAGTATATATATATTTCATCATGTCAGAATGTATTTTGTTTGTTTAATTTCAATACATTAATAATTTTTTTAAATAATCTTTTGTTTTCTACTTTTCAATATGCTCGCGTCCCCCTCCTAGGGTTATCACGCCCCCCTAGGGGAGCGCCCCATAGTTTGAGAAGCACTGATTTAAGTGTAATATTTATCTCTTTGTGTACTTCTATTCCGAAAATATAACATTGCAAAATATTTACGCAAATTACGTTCGTGAGAAAATTCGGGAAGTCATTTATATGATATAGTATTATTTTTTTGTATTTTTAGTAATATTATCTTATTCGTGACAGTTTTTTTTTTCAATTTTCCCCTTTTATATTTTATTCATTATTGCCCTTTAGTAACCGAGTTGGTTATGAGCGCGAACTCGCGCGTGGCCGGCGTTGCTTCTGTGAAGTCATGGGTTTGAGTCTTGGTGCCTGAAGACCCGCCCCATCTTCAGAAGCTATTGCACGTTAAATCTGTCTAGGCCCAATGTCCTACCGTTGGTATGGTGTGGAAGTTAGGAGAGGGGTGCCAACTCAGGTGTCGTACTCGTCACTTAACCATGATTCAAAATTAATAACGTGGTCCGTTGCCAAAAGCCCTTGTATAGCTGAAAAGGACGACGTTCGTATTCACTCATTTCTTAACCCTTTAACCAGTGACGTACGCAGACTACTTTTATAGGAGGGATTTACATTTAAAAAATATGTAGACAAAAGCGTTAAATGTATGTTAAGTGTACCGGCTTAAGGTATCCGACTACGTTCGGAACCATGATTTTGCAAAGTCATATAAATGGATAATATTTATGATATTTAGTGTCACTTAGATTAGAAAATATATATAAAATTGTTTTAAGAATATATTACAATAAAAAATTATTTAAATTAAATATTTCGGCAAAAAATTAACATAGAATAACCTTTTTTCAAAATGTTCTCCTTTTGTGAAAAATGCTTCTATTGTAATAATATTTTGCCTGTATATAGCTCAGACCTCTGTACAGAGGCTCAACTAGAATTTTTGAAATATATATCTTAGAAGTGGGTTTATCCATGTTTTACGACAACATTAGGGAGAAATGTAAAGAAAAAAACGCCGATAATTATTTCAATGGGTGGTAACTCTGAAAATGATGTGAATTTTTCAAAAATCATAGCTGAGCCTTTGTACAGAAGTCTGAGCTATATACTGGCAAAATATTATTATAATAGAAGCATTTTTCACAGAAGGAGAACATTTTGAAAAAAGGTTATTCTAAGTTAATTTTTTGCTGAAATATTGTATTTAAATATTTTTTTTAATCAAAATGTCCTTAAATCAATTTTATACATGTATTCTAATCTAAGTGACACTAAATATCACGAAAATTATCCATTTATGCACTTTTTTAAAATCATGGTTCCGAACGTAGTCGGATTAAGGTTCATAAAATAGCATGGCTTGAATATTGAAGTCCCCCTCAGACATCGACCTTTCCTTGAACCATATTACAGAATTACGGGGTCAACCTAAATAGTAAATATTTAGAAAACAGAAGTGCATGAACTTGAGAACTTACAGGCTCTAAAATTTCGAGTTAACTTGTATAAAAGTCATTTATACGATTACTCAAGATTAGCTTTAAAAATTCCAATAATTAGCAACATTCTTAGTAATTTATAAATGAACTGTGTGCGAAATATTTGCAGACGCGAAAAATTCCTAATTTGATCATCAAAATTATCTTTTTTAATTCCCGTCTCGGGATCTAACAGAAGTCAAGAACTCCTTTAAGATAAGAAAATAAAAATAATCGCGTTGATAAGCCAATCACTCGGAAAAACTACAAATTAATCACATGAGTAAGATAATGTAACTAAAAATATGTCTTTTTTTTTAACTGGATAACTTGAATGTTTTCGAACGTTCTTATCGGTTACGCCGGTGAGAAGCTCTGTTAAATATTGAAACTAAATCAGATACAATATTAACAAAAAAGGTGCTAGTTTGATATCACGGGGCATGACGCCAAGCACTACTTGGCGCAATAAAGGAATCACGCCAAGTACCGCTTGTTGTCGCTGGAATGTAATCCAAGATGGCGGCCTAGCGGTAATTTAATGAAATACAATAATTTTAAAGAATTGTTTGGAAATACATTGAAATGTCTTTCAAATGAAGGGTATAGGACGAGATGGAGAATAACCAAGATCAATCAATAAATAATAAATATCAATATAATGTAAAAAGTAAACATGTACTAATAATAGTATTATATGCAGTATATAATAATCTTATAATGTAATTTAATAGTAATTATAAATAATATTCATAGAGTATGATTTAATAATAATTATTATATATAATAATCATATAATATAATTTAATAGTAATTTTTTTTAAAAAAAGGAATAAGCATCGTATAGTAAAATCAAATGAAAATAATGCATAAGAATACTCATATTACATAATAATTATAAATAAATAACATAATATGTAATAATATTTATAAATAAATATAAAACAATTAAAAATAACGAATATTATATGATTATTAAATGTAGTAATAATTGCATTTTATATATTACATTATTAATAAAATAATTGCATAATATATATTTAAAATTAATAATGAATATCAATTACGAAGTACTGAAAACTTTCAATTTTCTAAAAACTGCAAGTTCCTTCAACAAATTTCATCGAACAAGGAACGTTAAAAAAGCATTTTTAAAACGTAAAATAAAGCGAAAATAAACGATTTATAGCAATAAAAAGAGTGCAACACTCATTCTGTAAAAAAATATATCCTATATTACTCACCCATATTAGAAATATCCATATTCAAAAATAGCACAGAAAAAAAAACAGAAGACGGAAATAATAGAACAATAACACTGAAAATCGTTCAATTTTTAAAGAAATGAATTAAAATCGTCTGAAATTAATGGGGTTACCGCGGGAAAAAAGCAATAAAAGTTATTTCTAATATACGTTATCCCCCATGTGGACAACCACATCGCCAGACGATAAAAATATCAAGATAACCATATAGTAATGTTATCGCCCATTTTGGCGAACATAAACAACTTGGCGTTTGCCCTCTGATATCAAACTAGCACCGAAATTAAGTCCAAAAAGCGAAATTTTTTTATAAGTTAACGGTGAAAGGCGAACTTGTCTGACGACTTATGAACCTCGTATCAATTAAATGTATTCTAGAAAACAAGCTCAGCCCTCTTATTCAATAAATTTTGTGTATCATCCTACAACTTTAGCAATTTTTTATATTCAGGTGTTCCGTCAACCAGAAAAAAAAAGTCGAGAAACACTGGTTTAGAGCTTGTATCTAGACTTACGAGAAAAGCTTGACTGATGGTTTCTTTTTAGTTAAATTAATCATGACAATT